TGCAGGAGCACAGACAGGAGCAGTTCTCTCTGTGCCCCAGTTCTGTCTGTGCTCCTGCACTCTGAAGATGCCGGTCACAGGTGCTGGCGAAACGTTAGGAAACAAAACTTTCAGAACACGGCCACACAGCCCGGAAGACCCACACCAGCCATCGTATGCCGGCCGTGAAAGCCTTCGACAATACACAATGTCTATATTCGCCTATCACATTAAGGCAAAACAATAAACTATTCTTATGTCTTAGTATGATGTATAAATACGTTTGTATATTCACTGGTCTATTTTTTTCTTGCTTTAGGTAGAAGGAAAAAGCAAAATTAAGCTAAAACGCTATGACTGATGATATTGTACAAAGAAAGAGAGGTCTCTTTCCCCAATTTTCTTTTAAAATAGGAGGCCTGCCTTACATTCACTGAGAATGTATGTATGTATTTATTTCAATGTATTTCTTTAATTATTTAGTAAGTTTACATACAGAATGTGGTGATGAAGGCAGATGAAAAGGGGATGTTACTTTTTTAGTCATCTTAAATTGAAGATAATTTTCTTTTCAATGAAACTTAGTACTGATCTGCAATTTTAATCCAAGCTATTCATTTTTATATGCATTTTAGCAGGATACTCCATAAATAATTCACTTCTGTAAATATTTGCATGATTTCTATAACTTATGGAATACAAATACACAAAATTTGATTATGTGATTCTTGTGCTGAAAACAGAAGCATTTTAGCCATAATTCCCAGCTGGGATGAGACAGAAATTGCCCAGGCATACTTGATAATGTTTCATTTACTTTTTGTTATCATTATTTGATGATTTTTCATTTACAATCACAATAGCAAATGTAAAACAGGAAAAAAAGGAAAACTGTTCAGTTTTCTGATTTTAGTGGGAGGCATCATTAATTGTGTATAGACTTTAGGAATGGTCATCTAGGAACAGCTGCTTCTAAGCAATTTGTAAGCCTATCTAAAAAGTACTCATAAATATGCCAATAAAATATGTCAACATTACATGTTCACATTCTATTTGCTTTATATTTTTTACAGTGTAAGGCCATAAAGCCAGGCAGTTAACAGTTCTATAATATAAAATCCTGGGCTGTGTGACACATGCTTTTCTTTCCCCCCTACAAGGAGAAACATTAAATTAGAAGCCACATTGCTTTAATTACAACCCTTGATCTCTCTTGCATGATGCAGATATATGACACTCAAATTCTTTGTTGGACTGAGCAGGTATAGCTGCCAAATTAAAACAAAAAACAAAACAACCCAACCAAAATGTTTTTTAGCTGTCAAGAATAAGACAAGTACTGACAGGACATAGAAGGAAGGTAAAGGATGCTTGGAATTTCAGAGTAAATACACCAGAGAACAATGGGAAATGGCATCGACACACGACCTGCGAGAGGCTCATTTACCTTGCAGTCAAACAAGGGAGTGTTAAGAGAGAAAGAAGAGTCAGTTCAAAGCAACCCAACATTCCAGAAGTGAGGCTGGTTGGTAAAGATGCCCCACCCACTGTCTTCCCCAAGAAGTAGCACATGCCTGAAGCTACTAAACATGCAGACATTAAAACAAAAAAGAAATGCATATACACACCCTGTTTACCAGACAAGTGACTCACGAGCGCAGGATATATTTTAAATAAATATTGAATAGCTTGCTTGAACCATAGCAAAACTGTAACACAACCCCCGACAAACTAGTTTGTGACTGCAAAGTGATTTTTCATACAGGTATATACAATTAACTGTACTTGCATATGTTGAGTGGGAAGTACTATAGATACAGGTGGTGTACATACACATATACACACACACATGCTTAAACTGAACCACAGTTTACAGAATTGCCTAAGTTGGAACAACACTGGGAACAATAATAATCAGTAAGTTGGGTTTCTACAACACAGTGAGTTACAGGGTAGCCACCACATCTTGGTTTAATATATTGTGCACACCCAGCCAGAGGGAATTCAGGTTATCAACAAAGAACTGCTATTCATGCCATTCAATAGAAATCCCCAAAATTCAGTTATGTGTTAAAGGCAACTTAAGTAATATTTGCCCTAGGAAGTCTTAATGATTCTGTTGGCCAATGGCCATGTCAGCCGAGAACTGCGTGCAGGTAAGGGGGAACCAAGATCCAATACATCTAGAACACATAAAATTGGGAAAGCTTCTACAGGACAAGCCCAATAGATCAACCTATCTTAAGAGGATGATGAAAAATTTGGAAAACGGTGCCCCATCAGAACACCAGTGAAAGTACTTGAACTTTCTATAGTTTGATATATCTGATCTGCCCAAAAGAAGATGTTGTACAAATAATGGAGAATTGAGAGTCTGAATTAATTTCCAACTCAGCAATCTGGGTAGTAGTCACTGAGAAGCAAGGGCTCCAAGTTCTTTATAAAATTTTAGCCAGGTCCAAGTCAGGTAAGAATGTCTAATAAATAGCTCAGCAGCAAAATAAAGCAGGAGAGACAATAGACCTCCTGACCCCAAATCTAATCTCCTGCATATCTGAGTTAAGTCAAAGAGAACACCATACAACATTCACCTTAGGGATATCATGAGGATTACATTAAGGGTTGTGTCAAGTCTATACCTGCAAGTCTGCAAGCTGAGCAGCTGATTTCTCCTCAAGGCACAGAGCCTGAGCCATAAATGCATGCAGGTCTTCTAAAGAGAGGGTGTCCACCTAAGAGACAGAGAGAGTCTTCAGACAGAAGTTTAGCTTTCGTTAGATGTGAACAAAAACATTCATGCTTTTGTACATTATCTGCATTCCCTTTTAGGGGAATGTCAGTGTTATACCATGTCTTTATTTGTACATGCTTATTTTAAAATCTGAATCTGCAGCAGAGGCTTTTGCAGCTATAGTTGCCATACCCTGCCGTACGTGCCTTCATTTTTCCTCCAATCATAGTAAAATTTAATTATCTATAACTATATATCTATATCTATACACAGAGAGAGAGACACACACATACATACACTTGCCACTTTGGCTGGGAATCCGGAGAAGTACAATCCAATATTAAGCACTTTAGAAATCAATCTAAGGCTACTTTTGCTCAATTGTAGTTCTATTTTACAATAGATTGTTTTGGTCTCTGTTAATCAGTTGTTATTTTATACAACATTAAAAAATGGAGTTATCTTTTAAAAATAACTCCCTTCATGTCTTGACTAAATTAATAGACACATGACCGAAGGGTGATGGGATGAAAGCAATAGAATGTTCGCTACAAAGGCAAGAACAAAGGTTCATGTCACAGCAATTTCTTTTAGTTGGCTCGCTTGCTGTAGGCTACAGGAATTTACAGTTTGGTAATAGGAATGTGAACCACAATAGCCTTGAAGTAGAATCTAGCTTTCCCCAGTCTAGTATTCTTCAGATGCATTGGAACTGCAATTTGCAGAATTCTCAAGTAGCAAGTATGAAGATCATGATGGGTAGGAGTTCTGGGATTCACAGCTCCAACGTATCTATACAGCACCCAGTTGGGACTGTCAGCTGGGAGATGGGCAGCATATACATTTAATAAATGATGATGATGATGATGAATACAAGCAGACATCAAAATACAATTAACATGCTAAGAATTGTAACCCAGCAGTATGGCAAATAAATGCCAAATAATCTGCAGAACAGGCACAGCTTACATTTTCAACATTTATTTCACTATCCCTCCAATGGGTTTCCCATATGAAAAATTCAACTGTATCCCCCAGAGACTATTTGAATCCAGACTGGTATTTGTCTGCCAGTGCTTCAGTTACACAAGTAGTAATGGAACCCCTTAATGAAATCCTCACAAACTATTTTCCTCCAGCCCTGCTCCGTGCTCCGAAGATGTGATGTGGATACATAACTTAAAGTAGTAATAAAAAATGGGAGGTGATATCTTCCAGGAAAAAGATTGCAGCATAACCATAATCTCAGATTACACAGCTTTCCGCAGATGTAAGGTGCACGAGTGATAACTTCAAGACAGGGAAATCCCATTACAGGCCCTTCCCAATAATTCAGTTTATGATTAGACACAGCCACAGTCCAAGACATCAAGAACTAATTTAATTTGCAATTTAATTTAATTCTAGAGTATATAGAGAAATAGGCTGAACATGCAAAGAAGGTAGTTACAGAACTAGGATTCTCTTTACTTGCAAAACAAAGTAGAGTAACAAGGAGCAGACAACAAAGACAGGAGTTTCCAGAGTCTGGAGATCCTCAGCGGTATCTTGAAGTTGAAAGCATGCCAGAAATGTCCAACGACGTTGCTTTTCAGCCTCAGCCCCCCTGTTGAGCCACAGTGATCTCAAATTAGGGTTGCCACCTAGGAAAGAAATCCATTATGGGTGTCACCATTGTAGAAGCAAGCTATGGAAAACTAGGGCCATGGCACTTCAATAAGAAACAATGACTTACTTCAAGTTTGGAATAATTGTAACGAGCTACAAAGAGTATCAGATTTAGGAAAAAGATAGCGTGCTGCTGCTGACATCTGAACAGTTGCTCTGGTTCTTTGTGAATTGCTCCGCTGGTGGGGTGAGGCTGTATTTTACAGTGCACAGGATTAGAATGCTGAAATATTTTGCATGATTCCTAAAATAAATGTGTTGGCTTGTGTAAATGACATAACCCTGCTGAAAGTTTAGCAAATATGTAGGAGACAGGGAGCCACTCTGACCTTTCTCATAATATTTTGAACTGGAATCCAATCATTTATGAAGTGATGTCACAGGGATCCACTTTAATCTTTCTTTTTTTCTCCACCAGACACTTCTTTCCTTGTCAATCACCTCTGTATTTTGCATGCAGCTACAATTTCAAATATGTGCAACCGACAGTCTTCTTTCTCGAAATAGAGAATCTTACGGATATCGTATTTACAGCATCTGCGAACTGGTTCTACCCCTCACCTCCACCCCAACATGACTTTATTCCTCTAGCATGGAAGAGGTCATTTCAGGAAAGAGAATGAACTGTCAAATGCAGCTAGGGATTCTGCTGATGCAGGATGATCATAACATATATTTGTAAAATGTAACTGGATGAAAAGTGTCCCTGCTGCATCCTAGTGAATGGCTTTTGATAAGATCAATTTTCACATTCATTTCGAAAGCAGCTGATCAATGAGTACTAAAGAATGGAACTGTGCATCCTGCTTTCTTCTAAAATAGCAAACCACTTGTTCACATGTGTGTTCATGTATGGAGCCATCCAGCTTTATGATTGCACCATGTGTCAGAAATTGCTGGACAGGGCATTTCATTTACATTATACGAGTATCTAGTCTTATTATAAGAGGATCCAATTTGCATATAGGAAATAGTCTCAAAACAGTGGTTTATTATTATCTAAGGGATGACATTAGAGAATGCAAAACCAGAGTACATCCATGAAGATACTATATACAATGCTTAATAAGTTTACTTTTTAGTCCCTTATATTATACTTCATTTTATATATCTTATGAGATATCAAAAAAGAAAAAGAAAAGAAAAAAAAGAGATTTAAATGTTACTTTTTATCATGTTTACTTAACTACCAAGATAATAATGAATATGAAATGAACAGTTGACATCTAGTAAGTGGATAAATTCTTGCAGACAGTATTTTAATTCTATCTTTCAGATAAATCCAGGTACCATTTTAAGATCTACGTATCCAATCAAGCTAAGTTGGTAGCATGTCTTTTTTCCTCTTTTTATCATTACAAACAGAAGTTGCATTCCTTTGAGTAAACTACTTGGCTACTATAAATCATTACAGTGTTGAGGTATCAAACAGTGAGTGAAAAAAGAGTGTTTATTTAGCAAACAAAACTCACTTAACCAAATGGTACTTTTGTCTGAAGATACAAAACAGAAAATAAATATTTTGTCCTTCACCTTTAAGACTAGTTTCTTTCCAAGTGTGAATTTTCTTAAATTTAGGGCCCCAGGCTTAGAGAAAATGTGTACTTTCCCACCCAAAGCTATATGGAGTTGAACAAAACCACAGCATGCTCTGCTGCAAGAATATCTAAATATCCCACAATTAAAAGGCACTTCTATTTCTCTCTCTTTCACACCTTACATAAATTGCTTGTGATTTTTTTTTCTTCTCTGAAAGAACAAATATGAGCAAATTGCTGCAGGAGCCTTTGTACTGAGGAGCAATTTAGAAATACTTTTAATTAGCAAAATAATACATGAGAAAAAAAATAATAAAACAGAAAAAGGAATTTATCATTAGGAGCCAATGTGACAGTCTTCAGGTAACCTCTACAAGTCACTGACAGTAATAATGATGGCAATAATATAACTATTTTAGGAGACCTTAAACGTGTTCACTCAAAAGCCTTACTGAATTCCATGGGGCTTTCTTTCTAATCAGTATATTTAATATTGCAACCCTAGGCTATTTAGGAGTAAGTCCTACTAAAATAATATATAAAATCTCAAACCTTTAAGTCCCTGAGCAGCTTGAGGCCTGGTTATCTGAACAAAGATCTTGTCCCATATAAACCAACTCAAACTCTTTAGAAGTCCTTTTCCAGATACCACTGCCAAATCTGATGAGGCAAGTGGTTATTAAGGACTGGGCTTTTTCAGGGGTATCACACTGGTTCTAGAATGCTGTCCTAGATGGAATCGCTGGTGTCTCCACTTTTTAGGACCAAATAAAGCATATCCTTCTTTTTATTCAGAGAGAGGGAGATCAGGAGTTCTGATACTATGTTTAAAATTTTAGAATGTGATCTTTAGGCGAGGGAGAAAGATCTCCCTGATCTTTCATGGATGTTAATAACTGATTCGGACTCTTAAGTCACCATTTTGAATCTGATTTTGGCTAGTAGACCTCAGGGTTTTAGTAAAAAAGCAAAAAAGATTCTAGAACCCTTAAATAATGCTCATCGCCTTGTAGGTTGCCACACAGCAGCCAGACAATCTTCCTTGCAAGCATCTTAATGTACCCTCAGCAAAGAATTATGTAAGATATAGATATATATTGTAGATACGGAAATCAGCTCAGGTTGAAGAAGGATGTCCCTTGACTGCCAATACCTCATCTATGTAGTCACATTTGCACATGCTTTGCAAAGGATTCTTTTCTATTAAATTGACAAAAAATCAGACCAAATTTTACTATGTCTACTAATTTAATTACAAGTTTAACTCAGTAATTTAGTAAAGGCCGCATGAATGATGACTTGTTTCTCACCAGTCATAATATGGTTTGCTTGCTATGGATTAGTATTTTGCGTGAGCCAAAAATGTTGGCTTATTAAATAAACTATTATTAACCAAACTATGATTTAGTATGAGGTGCAAGCTCATTGTTAAATAGCAGCAACGTTTAATGGAACGTGATTTTAACCTAGTTTTGTTCTGCCTTATAAACAAGAGATGGGTGCAACTATATGTATATGCATATATGTATGCATTCATTCCAAAAAGATTCTTTGAACAAATGTGGACTTAAATTTGTTTTTCTCCATTTGACTTTGACTGAAATGCAGTAACTGCCTATCAAAGCATTTTATGATTTAAAGTGTCACAGTGCCAAGCTCCTTATTTGGTGAGCTACAGTTTCATCTTGCAGAAAATAAAAATGCATGAGAAAATTTCAAGCTTACAAAGATAGACTGCTCACTTTTTAGAAAAATACTTGCTTTGGAATATTGCACTAAAAATAAGTTCTGGAACTCTTCTTGGCTAGTCTGAAATAGAATAGAACAGACTTTCCTTTCTGAGGAAGTCGCAAACATTGCTCAAAGGGAACCTGCAGTATAAATCCTCCTTTCGAGGGCATGTTTTATTGAAATTTCTCATACTTATAGTCAGCCCAAATATGATTTTCTGCAAGCAAATTCCATAAGAGATTGCTTGGTGTTGCTGCATCCATAGAAGGAAGAAATAGCACAGTACAAAATTCTTTCCAAATGCTGTGTGCTGTTTGCAAATAAAAAGCATTTTAAAAATGGGCTATCCCTCTTTTTAGCATGCCAATCCTCACACCAGATTTAGGGCAGATATTTCTACCATAACTGAAATTGAGTCACTCCCACCCAAAGAAAAGACCATATCTGAGTAGTCTGGGTATTTGTATATATCTAATATGCAGCTGGCCCAACAAGAGAAGCAGGGTCAGATTTTAAGACTTCTTAATTTCATGTAAATTATTCAGCCAGAGCATTCAGGACAAAAGTGAGAGATAGAATTAAGAGTTCAGCTGCCCTGAATTTTTATTAAGAAGTTGATTCTATTGCTTCTGTTTCCTCCGTATAGACACTGTATATGATCTCTCTTCATTTTCATCATTTTTTTCTCTGTCATTGTCATTATCAATGCAATGAATGAATGAAGCAGCACGAAGGACCCTAAGGATGCTCCTACAATATCTTTTTGACAGTCCTGGGTATGAAATAGGAAGGGGTCTGATTCCAAGTCAGACCACTGGTCATCTACTTCATGTGACTGATGCTAACTCCTAGCAGGATTTCAAGCTTTCCCAGCTCTACCTGCAAATGTCAGGAACAGAGCCTGAAACCTTTGGCATGCAAAGCATCTGTTTTACTACTGAAATACAGTTGTTCCTCAAATATATGTTAATTAGCATTTTCTTTTCATTTAGATAGGAAGGATTTACTTTATAACTCCTGGAATGTGTACTTCTTTGTTTATACTGGTTTCCCTGGGGATGATGATAAGAATGGAACTTATCAGATAAATTTATCAGACAGAATACCCTATGTCATTAAGGTGAAGGTCGATCAACCACTTAAATTAAGTTTAAGTCCCATGACATCTAATAAATTAGGCTCTTATTCTGGGAAACGTATGTCATGCTATATTTGTTAACAGTGAAGGTAAAAAAAAATCTATGTCTATAGACTAAACCTCTTGAAAATATATATATTTGCAAAAACATTTCAAATCCTATTCTAATGAAGAATTAATTAGAAGTATCATAAATATGCAAATGATAAGTAATAAGAAATGTCTGGATGAAATTATCTAGATCAGCCTTCTCTAACCTGGTGCCCCAGGAATCCTAGAAACGAATTTCAACATATCTGGAGGGTAACAGGTCAGGGGAAGACTGATCTAGATCCTGAGCAATCTAGTTTCTGACTTGATTAAGAACAGAAATTGTATTACTTACCCTGGATAAAGATCTCTGCCAGGAAACAGACAAGCTGTTCATCACTAAAATCTCTTGACTTCTCCTTATTGTTTGATACTATTAACTATTAGGGTTGCATTCTACTTAAAGGACTGGAAATACAGTCATGGAGTATTTTTGGATCTAGCATATAGTAATTAATATATTTTCTTAAGTTTGGTCCACACATCATTGTGGCTGCTTCTAGCAATGTGTGATACGTGTGCACATATACATACATACAGAGCACACTACTTATTAGGAACACAAGAATAGCCTTGTTGGATCAGGCTTATATCTAGACAGCATTCTGTCTCACCCAGTGGCCCACCTGATGTATACAGGAAGTCCTCCTCTCACAGGTACCAAACATGTAGAAGTGGACTGCCCCCATGCTTGGAAGCAGCATCCATCAAGATTAGTAACCTAGGAAGAATGATTTGCAGATAGCATCTTTATGCTGAAAGAACTGTACTGGCTCTCAATCTATTGTTCAGAGTTGATTCTTGGTAATTAAAAGCTTATGGGTCATGTTCAGGATACTGCAATGAATGCTTCTATCAAATGTGCTTGAGTACTAAATTAGAGCAGGGTGGCCTCATAAAAGGGAAGCCTTTGTTGGAAGTGGCATCTTAACTATGAATTTCATCCCTGGATAAGATAAAGCTGACTCTTCTGTTCACTCTCGAATAGGACAGTGATGACTATTTTAATCTAACTACCTGTGATAATTGACCCAGTCTGAATCTTTCTTGCTTCCTGCCCTTATGTTTTATTTGGAAACAGTGCTGGTTGCTGATATGTTGTTTTTTTAAAAATTATTATAAAGTTGTTCTTCTGGTTCTTGATGAGTGGAATTTTACTGATGTTTATTGTTTTTACAAGTCACAAGCCTCTCTGAGGCTTACAAAATCATCTTGGCATGCTACAGATTTAAAAAATAAATGTATTTATGTAACTTGACTTTTTAGAGATGTCTGGTTCCCAAAACTAAAAGGTCTTATAGGATATTTTTAACAAACATTTTATATTTAGTTCATATTTTAATACAGAATGAAATCTTGTTCTACCTGGAAGTTGTTTGGGTTGTACTAGGTCTGGCTGCTGCAGGGAATTTCCAGCATACACAAACCACTCCTTGACTACAGGATAGCCTCCACTGGCATCTGAAGAACAGAGAATTGGTTCAATGAGCTTAAGTGAGAACAGACATTGTACAATTTTTAATCCTTTAAATACAAGGGTATGAAGATTTAGGCTCAATCTCATATCCTCTTAAAGATTAAACCCAATAGATCCTATACCAACTTTCAAGCCCACGGCTGGTACATTTAGAGCAGGGGTTCCTAAACCTTTTGCCATCACACCTCTCTTTAGTGTAATCTAAATGTACACACCTCCTCTAAAAACCCAAACACCAAAATGAACACAAATGAACAGTGAGAAAAGTACAATGAAACTTTGGGAAAGGTGGATATTGTAACAACATAACTAAAAGGTTCTTCACGCCTCCCCTGGACCTGTCTGCATCTCCCCGAGGGAGGTGCATCTCACAGTTTGGGAAACCCTGATTTAGAGCCAAATTAACCAAGAAATTCATTAATTTAGAAATGAAAATAAAAATAATAGCTTGATCATACAGATTTACATAGCCACAACGTGACAATATGGAATACATTATGTGCTCAGTCAACTCTGTTAGCACTTTGGGTGACGGTGAGCAATATTTGTTGTGACAAAGATTCATGAAATTGCAATGCTGTATTAGGGGACTTCCATATTTCAGATATGTGTAGTTGCACCAGAATCCCCCTTTCTCCCCAGGCATGCCTTCACCCATACTGTAAGCTCCTGCTTTTGATTTTCTATGAACAATTCACAGTTACCTTTAGAAAAAAAATGAGCGAGAAAGAACAATAATTATATTATTACTAATAGCTAGTTTAGGCATGATCCATAGAAAGGCAGGACACAATTATTTTAAATAAATGCTCTTTAATCCATTTAAAATAACTAAATAGACCAGAAAGTCCTGCCATGTAATATTGACAGTACATTCTATTTTTTCTATGCTGCAGCTTTCAATGTCGAGCAAACTGCTGTGGGAATTGAAGAAAACCCTTTCCTTGTTTCAGTTTAGGAGGTGGCTTAAATACACTCTCTCTCACACACACATACACATACCAGCCACACAAAACCATTCAGAGGTTGGCAGCAAATAAATGTGTCAAATAAATCATAATTGAATGCTCCTTTATAGGTTTGCTCAGATTTTGTCTTCTGAGGTCTCAAGTAGACTGCCAATCTTAAAGGAGGAAATCCACCATTTTTATAATTGCCTATACTCAAATGACAGTATCATTTTTGCACTGACTTTTTAAATTATAAAATACATCATCTAAATTCACCGTAAGAGACATATACAGTATGAAATCTGCAACATACAGATTTCAATTAAAATGTTTCAACTGCTCTTTAACTTATCTCCATTTCCCACATGATCATTTCCAATTTAATATAAAAGTTCAACATATTTTGAAGAATGGAACTCTCCTAGACTGAGAATCCTAGGAGCTAGTTCTAACACTTCTAGAAGATCAGAGGATCATGTTGGGTAAAGATAGTAGAAACAGACTCAGTATTCCATATTTCAGGAGCCAATATTGTTCCTGTTAACCTGGGAAAAATCCAAGCACTCCTTGAGGAAGCAAACTACCCTGGCTTTTCAAAATAAGCTATGAGTTGAGATTGTTAATTATTATTGTATACTGCCATAATCAACATGGATTCCCGGTGATTATAATTCGACTGATTTTCTTTGATTGTTCTGCAGTTTTCAATACCATTAAACATGGTATCTCTCTTGATCATCTTGGAGATTCAGGAATAGGGTGCACCGCTTTGTAGATTTCTGGTCCCATCTCCTAAATAAATTTCAGACAGTGTCACTTGCAAACATATATTCCTCAAAACAGGAAAAATCTGTATTGTGCCTAATTGAATTAAGCACGTCAATAGCTTTTGCGCACCCCAGATAAAAATGATGCAAAATTCCCATCAGCTTTCAGCTGTCATGATCTGAAAGGGCACCAGGGGACCAAAAAGAAGATTTAGTGGGCTGCATGCTGTCCTGAGTATAAAATGCTCACTCCAGTCCTACATCAGGAACAAAGGAACTGGGAAATTGCCCTTAGAAAGAGTTCCGTGTGCTTTTGCAGGATGCAATCAAATCTTCACATAGTTGCTACTAGTTGCTAAAGTCTGCAGCTTATATCAAAGATACGATTATTCACGCATGCAGCATTTGAAAACTCTTACCAACTGAGGGACTATTGGGGTACCCTGAACAAAGTTTAACTTCGGAGCACACCAGAGCCTTAGCCCCCCTCCTTCCCTTTTCATTATTCCACGAGGAGCCTCCCTGGCACAGGCCGGGGCACAGGGCCGTGCTGCATGAATTGCATGGAAACCATTTGTAGCAAACCATTTGTTAGCCCAGGATTCTGACACTCGTGCTATGCATGCTGACAAATATGAATAAGAATCCTTT